TTGCGATGACTGGACCCCATATCGCTCTATGTGGAATTGGATGTAAATGGACATGTCAATTTACATCAGAAAACTCTGATCCGGCATGATCAGGTCCATCGAAATGGAACACTGTTCTGGGTTTTTTTTTCCGGACCTGGCCAGATTTGGGGGATAAACGGATACCCGTCTGTTTAGACTCGGCTGCCCATTGACTTGCGGTGGACATCCGATCAGGTCTGCCTGAAAAACTGACAGGCGGACCTGATCTGACCTTCCATGCTAAAGGGGCCTTAAAAGTGGAGAAACTTTAGAATCTCAAATTTTTGTCTTTCCATAATCCCCACCAGGGGGATTGTCCTTTTACTTTGGGTAACTGGGGCACAGAAAACAATAAAATCCTACCCAACATTCATCATTCCATATGAGCTTGACAAAGAGGTAAACTCTCGAAACGCGTTGCTCCCCCCCTCATTAACTTCTCAACCACATCAGGAACTTGGTTGCCACTGACTGACACCGGAACAACGTTCATTCACTGCCGCTGGTTCAGCGACCCACATGCCGCACTACTCCTCACACTGACCGGCACAAGACTCGAGTTTTCACCGAGGGGTGCTTCCTGCAGCTGCCATCCCATCTGTAGAAGCCGCCGAGTCCCATTCAACCCTACCCCCGCAGACATAGCAGGGACACGGATAGACCTCCAGCAATCTTTCTTCCTCCGGTTTCAGCTACCCGCTCGTTTGGACGGGCTCTCCCTTGCTGGTCATTTACCTACTGAAGGCTCTTCCATCGAGCACCTCGATCCCCATCAGAGGTCTCCTTTCCTCCAGTCCCCCAACGCCAATGTAAGTGTCATTAACATCATTCTTATTATGATTACACACACACACCTAGGTTATTGCGCCCTTTCATGTTTTTTAGTTGTACCCAACATTCAAACAGGTTTCCACTGCATCCAAAATGAACAAATAAGGATTTGCTGAAGTCTTTCTTTCTTTAGAGAGTTGCACATGCTCAGACATGGAACTTCAGATTTGGTAGTGTTTTGTCTCACAGAAGAGGAAGCCAAGTCGTATCTTTGTGAGTTGAGGACTATTATAATAAAACACGTGTTTAGAAATAAACCTGTGAATTTTATCGCATTGGTAGCGGTTCCAAGATTGATGTTATGGCAAGTGTGACTACAAAAAAAATAAAAAATCCGTCCTCAATCATCAAATGTCTAAACTTGACATCATGACATCATTTTATCTACTTCTTCTTTCATTCTTCCCCCATAAAAAAAAATCCCAGATGATGTAGACAGAGAAAAGATAACTGTCTAAACTATTCTGTGAATGCATCTGGTCAGGCTTCCTGTTTCTGTACATGGGACATTATATTTAGACTGTGATGTCAGCGGTTCATTTGGCGTTGTGCACTCTTGCTAAGAAAAGCTTATCAAATAAAACTCAGCTCCGTTCATGTTTAACTGTTACTGGTGATTGGCAAAATGTAGAGCCCCGTACCAAAGATGCCCCATCTCATGGTCTCTGAGACTTCAAGGTGTAAGCTTTGCCTCCACTGTTTGGTTTCACATATAAAGTTAAAATATCCCATCCTCGTATGTTCATTGCTGATGACCATAGTTTGTGGTTGCAAGTAAAGATGTAGTTTGTATAAGGGATTAGACGAGCTGTTCAGTATGTAAACTCTCTTCCCAGTGTTTGCTTTAATGGCAGAGCCTTTGTTCTTACTCTCGCATGCAGTAGTTCTTTGTGTCAACATAAATCAGCCAAAAATCTGTCTGCCCATCACTTTCATTAACTTCCTGGATTCCCAGTGTCCTTTGCATCTCTTTTCCTGCTGCTTGATGTGATACAAACTTGATTACTTAAACGTGTATTAAACTCAAACTTTTTTTGCACTAATAAATGCAGATCATACAAATATATATTGACCAGCAAATATTTAGTTTTTTCTAATTATTGCACAGACACTTGCAGTCATTATGTTTCCCAAACAGCTGGCTCCAACTCTCTCAGCTCAGCTTCCCTGAATTTCCTGTTGAGTACAAGATCACAAGGGACAGCACATTCTCCAGCAGCTATGCATCTACTAGAATGGAGAAGGGAGGAGTGGGGAAGAGAGGATTGGCTTGCCTTGCTGTGTGTGTGTGCGCTTGTGGAGACGCGCACAGCTTTCTAACACACACAAGGTTGGCTCCATAGGACCCTGCAAGGTGAAGGAGCAAACCTAAAACAGTGAGATCAGGACCAATGCCCAGGGGACCAACTAATTCCGTAGGAAAGTAAATCATTTAAACATCAATGAGCAGCATTCATTGTAAGAGATTGTAACAGTCGTATGGTCTTTGCTATGTAGACTCCCTTCTATAAGACCCTAGAAAGCTCCTTCTTCAACTCTGAGTGCCTGAAGCATGTTATGATGAACACAGTAGAGTACATTGTACATAACTTTCCACTCTGTCTAATTCTGGTGCAGTTTGTGTTATTCAGAAGAATATCGCTGACCTGGAAATGATCGCTGTCTGCCTTTTTCCAAAAACGTCTTAAAGTAAGACATGATGGTTGGAAGATCCTAAACTTTTCGCTTACATAATATATTTCCATAATATCTTCCCCCCCGCCCCCCGGCATTTAGACAGCCAGGTCGTTTTTGGCTGAATTGGTTGCCAGTCATCTCTGTAGGTAGTCTTATGTGCAGATTATATAATAATTTTTCTTTTTCATACGTTAGATTGTACTTTTCTTCATAGCAAAAAAAACCCCGAACTTGTACATGGAAAGAATTAAGGCCGGTCCCCTGGTGAACAATCCTCATCTCATGAATATATCACCTTATCCAATTTTTATTTCTTCCTATCCACAAGCAAGTTCATTATACAGTGCCAATAAATCCTTGGCTTTTTTTTTAATGGAAGAATAATGGCGCAATCTAAAACAAACCCCTTATTCTCTTCTTGTAGATTTTGTTGTTTTGTTAATGCAAACATCAGCATATTTAATCCATGCTAAGCTGACATGACATGTCGCTAGAACGGTATTAAAATTGACTTATATACAGCAAAGAGTTCATCACTTTTCAGTGCAAATTCTTAAGTGCAGAGGCAATTAGATTGCACTTGAATGAAGTCAGACCAGTATGAGATGAATTCTGATTGGTTGCAGCCGAGTGTCTCATCTTTTTGTTATGGTATTAAGACCTTTAAAATCTTGCAACTGAAGCCAATATTTTTTTATTTTCGTTTTGGATAGAATGGAGCATTAGAACTCCTGTCAGTAGGGATGCACCAATATTGGGTACTTGTACTCATAAAAATGCCCCGATACTAAACACTGATACCCAAGCTTTAAATTTGTAAACTGTAGTGGCTGCCTGAGGTCCTGTGCTTGCTAGGCACCTCAGCAGCCTTCCTGTGAACCCCGTGGTACCTGTTTACAGCGCTGGCTGCACAGCTCCTCCTCCCTGGGCCTAAGAGACCATCTGGACCCCTGGTGAGACCCTGAACAGCCCACCTGAGACCCTCCACAGCCTTCTTGAGACCCTCAGCTGCAGACATCATGCCGGCACCCCAGTGCAACAACCAGGATGTAGCTTCATATTATTTGCTGTATGATGTATTGCTGGGATTTGTAGTCCTCTACAGCTGATGGTATTCTGCATTGGTGTTTAATGTGTTGCTGGGATTTATAGCCCTCTGTAGCTGATGGTAGTATTCTTCTTTGCTGTATAATGTATTGCTGGGATTTGCAGTCCTCTATAGCTGATGATATTGACTAGGGACCTTAGACTGCTGGTAACCCAGTGTACACAGCACAGAGGGAACTGTACCTCCAGCATATAATGGCATTGACGCTGTGTGCCCCTTTACCTGATATTCTGATGGTAGATTTTAAAGTGACCCTTTCCAGTCTCCTAGAGTTCTCATTTATAAATACCATTGTATCGGGCTGGTGCAGATCTCCTAGAATTTTAGCTTTGTTATATCCAGTGGCAGAGATAATGGCTCTTTTCACTACATGTGAAGATTGATTTCTTTTCAAACATTCAGTGTGCTTTCTTTCAATGCTAATTAACGTGGTAAAACTGCGCTGGAATAACCTTCACACTGCTAAGACAAGCTGCAACAATATGTGTGGTGTTGACCCCTGTGTGATTGTGAATGCTAATATGCTGCGCTTAATCTATGTGAAACTCAAAATATTGTCTCAAATATCAACTCAAATGTAACCCATGGTGAATCCGTTGCCGCATAATACGACCAAACGATATACAATGTGCAAAAGCCCATACATTTATCTGCTGCAAAATAAGGTGGAACAATTAACCATATGTGATGACAGTATCTCACACGGTAGGATGCAAAAAAAATTATTTGTTCCAATTCAGAATTCTTGTATCACAGTGACTCCAGATACAAATTATAATTCTCAGCAGATGAAGTCCCAAACCAAAAAAAAAACAAACAAAAAATGCTTTTATATATATCCACTTTTCTTCTATATTATGTTCAGTGCTCCAAGTGCTGATATTTTGGGATCCTATTTGATACTGTACTTTATCACATGTTTATTACACATATTTTCTGGAGTCACTGTGATACGAGAATTCTGGATTGGAACAAATCATTTTGCTCATTGTATATTGTTTGGTCATATTATCCTGCAACGGACTCACCATGTGTTACATTTGAGTTGATTTTTGAGACCATATTTTCTTTCATTGCTGATCTTGGCCTATTTTGATCATGAGTGCACCCAGCCCCATCCAAACCAAATGCTAGTGTGATTGGGAGCCCTACTTCCCCTTTAGCAATATTAGCAATAATATTTTGTATATCCCCTTGGATAGGAATCTCCATGACTAACTTTTTTGTTTAACTTTTGTCTGGTCTACAGTTCTGTGTCGGGTGAACAACTGTTATGATATATACTGTTTCTGTATGGGCATGAGAAGGATGTACAGTATGACATTAATGGCCTTGAGTTGGTACTACTGTTAATGAGGATCAGATACAAATGTACAAGGATACCTTCTATTATGTAAACCTATAGACTGCTTAGCTTTCTATCAAGCACAACTCCTTTTATAGTGTGGCCAAGGATATTATTTGGCCGTTTGTTTATGCTCATGGTCCATTGATATTGGTTCCTCAGATGGGGGGTAATGTTGATCATTATGATCAGGAGTGCATCCAACCCCATCCACACCATATCCAAGTGTGATTGATAGCCCTACTTCTGATTTGTGACACGCAGAGGGCAATATGGCCACTCCCAAAAGAGCTTTGCGCCGTTGCATGTGGCATGAACTTAAAAGCTACAGTAGGGTTCTTGTGAGGTAATAATAAGAATACAAATATACAGTATATAGTGCGCTGCAGCTTAATCCAATGGGTGCTTTCATTTTGGATGACATGTTTACTTTATAATGTTATCTGGTTTTTCAAACATTATAGTAAGCATGGCAAAAGTAAATACAATATTAATTTGTTCCAATGGAATAAGATTCAATATTAATTTCAGTAGACGAGTACAGGGCACTATGTTTCAATCTCTCAGTCAGGTCAGTACGTACAGAAGATCATGTCTGCTCTGTAAGCAGTCATAATTAGTCTGGCCTCTGACTCCTGTGTGCAAAGCTTTCTGAGTCATTTGCTGTGACTCTCAATCCAAATGTCACATTACCATATTATGTATACAGTGTAGGACTCGCAGAATTGTGTTGCCGTCCATGTTTGTGGATTACAGGGGTACTTTACAGAATGTTTCATTTGGAATTGTGTATATGGGTTTGAGTTTCTTCAGTACATTCTTATAACCGTATACATCACTGCAGTAACATTGCAACAACAATAATCTAAAAAAAAAAAAACAAGAATTAGAAAAAGGGAAAAATTCTAGCTTTCAAAACTACTTACCTTCACTAGATGGATGGCAGGACACTAATTAGGCCTATCGCAGTGCGACATATCTGTTTTCCCTGAAATAACAGTTTTTACTATAAGCACGAGTTACAGAATATAAGATGTGATCTGTTCTACTGTACAATACATGTGTTTCTACAAACAGAAAAATAATACTTTTACAGTACATAGTTCCCATACTTAGACACCCATCATAGATGACCTATGAATTTTAGTAGGTTGGCATCTACAGTTAATAGCTATTACAAGCTGCTGTGTAGCTTATCCCATAGACAGCCACTCTTCCATTAGAAAGTCATTGGTCTAGAGTGCTTAGTTGCAAGCTGCAAGAAATGGTCGGACCGTACGGCCGCGTACACCACCCTACGCTCACACCGAACTGCCCGTCCGTGTGGGTGTCCGTACTCGTACGCTGACAGGATGGATCCTGTCTGCCTCCGAGCAAAAACACCCACAGCCGTACGGACCTGCACTTGTGGTGAGCGTAGGGCGGCATACTCCCATAGAGAGGACAGGCTGCTGCGTACAAATCACACGCTAGCACCTGTCCTTCCCGGGAGCGGGCCGTGCACGCAGTACAGATCTGTGTGAATGAGGGCTAAACGTAGACCTAAACTCAAAAAGTGACGGTTTGCCATGTTATAATGTTACTGGTGCTTAAGCAGTTCCCTAAAAGATTTAAGCTGGCCATATAGTGTTCTAGTTTTTGTGTTTTGTTTTTTTTATTCAACCCACGGGCTGAACAAACACATGGAACCAATTCCTCCATCAACGCGTATGAGCGTTGATGGCGGAATCTCCCACTGTTTCTTTTCTATTCTGGCAGCGGCCACTGTCAGAATACCTGCACGGCTCTGTTGGGTTGAAATTTTTCCTACCAGCTGTTTCGACCAGCTGATCAAGGGATGCGGGCCAAAATGTGCACAGTCAGTGCGCTACTTCAGGAGCTGGCCCGAAGGGTGCCGACAGCAGCACTCGCTGTGCGAATTTCGACAAATTTGCATAGTGTATGGCCAGCTTTACTCTGTCTTCAATTCCTCCTGAACAATAGCAGTGCACTTTCTGCCACGTGAGTGTGTCTAGGCATTTCTCCTTTTAGCTGTATGTCCGCAGTGTGAGATATAAGGCACTGCTGCTTCTGAATTCTAGTGTCAGGAGAATTGGAGTAAGATTTGGTGATGCTCACAGAGGCACTGTGCAGAACAAAGCAGATATAGCAAGCGCCACACCAAGTGAAATAGTCCAGATACGACTTTATTCTATTAGGGTCAGGGGATATTATCTAGTAGGGAAGCCACCATGTTTCAGGAGTCCAAAACACCCCCTTCATCATGGCTTAAGAAGAGGAATCATGTATGTGGACTACAATCCCTTGAACATTGTATGGAGTTATGATGGGAGTACTTCAGGCTGGTCAGCAACCAGACATGGTAAACCAGTAATGGGAGTACAATCTGCTGCGGGGAGATGACAGGCAATATTGGTGACTTTGCTCTCTGTTTCCAGGGTTCACTTCCTCTTTAGTGCTAAATTCAAACGTACCCACTATTCCAATATAAAGATCTGTTTTATAAATCTGTAATAGGTGGCTTGATACTTCTATGCCCTTTTTAGGAGCACTGACCATTGTATATATACATGTTTGTAGGTTCAGCATATTATTTTCAGTACGAAAAAAGAAAGTTAGATATTTAAAGAACAACTCCGGGCAAAACTTTTATTAACCCTTGAAGTAGCGCAAACCCCCGCACTGCAAAGGTTAACTGCTTGTTTTTGTCTAGATACTAAATGAAAAGTTATACTCAAATGAACATCTGAGCCAGCTCCCTGCTCCCCTGGTCTGTGAAGCCTCTCTCCCCATACGCTGCAGCATTGGAATGTTCCCTGGTGTTCTCATGTCTTTACATAGTGTATAGAACGTGATGATTTAAGGGAACTTAGACCGCTGCAATGTAGAGGGAGGAGGCTGAAAGAATCGGTCTAAGAACAAGCCAGCTCTGCAGGTCAGGTGGGTATAACACAAACGAGCAGGTAACCCTTACAGTGTGGAGTTAGCCCAACTGCAAGGGTTAAAAAAAAGGTTTGGTGGCCTATGGGGAATCCGATGTATATGGTCATGTGTCCGTTTACATCAGATAACGCCCAAACTGCTACTCAGGTCCACCAAAACGGAACTTTGTTCTGATTGGATTTCCAGACCTGGGTGGAGTCAGGGGTAATCGGGTGTAATGGACACGCATCCATTTAGATCCAGCAACAAATAGAAGAACACTGGGCTTCTGATCAGATCTGCCTGAAAGTGACAGGCAGACCTGGTCAGAATGCCATTGTGAAAGGGCTCTAAGCTTGCATCTTTAGTAAGTTAGCCAAAGATGGGTGTCACCTAAATTCCAGACTTTCTGCATTTATCGATGGCTAGCACGGCACAAAGCTCTACTACTGCTGCAGGAAAGTCAAAAATCATGCTTGCTTTATAATTCTTAGGCTCCATTCACACATGAACGGTTTTCCGTGCGTATTTGTACGCGCTAAACATAAAAAAACAATGGGGGGAATTTATCAAAACTGGAGCAGACAAAATCTGGAGCAGCTGTGCATGGCAACCAATCAGCTTCCATCTTCAGTTTGTTCAGTTAAGATTTGAAAATAAAAGAAGCTGATTGGTTGCCGTGCACAGCTGCTCCAGCTTTTGTCTGCTCAAGTCTTGATAAATTTCCCCTCAATGTGCATTGTTCACACTAGAGCGTCGTCTGCACGGTACAAAGATGTGTGGCCGCCCCCGC